CTTGGCCGTTTCTACCATCTGGGGAGTGAAACAGCGGATGGAGGAGCTTTCTCTCTCTCTTGTCTTTCCCTCTCTCTGTGCAACTCTGGCTTTCAAATAAATAAATTACTTTAGTAAAAAATAAAGTAGCTAATAACATAACACGATTATGTTTTGAGTTGAAATAGCACATTATTTCATATTTGCAAAGCTCCTCACTTAAACACCTGTGCACTTATATGCTTGGAAAGATCACTATTTGCACCTGAAAAATGACAAACTAGAGCTAATAATCACTGAACTGGCAGAGTCTCAGCTGAGAGATTAATCCAGAAGACTCATCACCGAGTCTGATTCACTAGCGTGTGGAATTGTATTTCTCAAGCTCAGTGGTGTAGACATTTGGGGCCAGAAAATTCTGCACTGTGAGGATGCATCGCAGGAGGTTTATCAGGTTCACCTGTGCCTGGCTTCACTCTGCTGGGCGTCAGTAATACCCCCTCTGCCGGTTGTAATGCCCACAGTGCTCCAGATACAGCTGAGCGTCACCTTGGGAAAAAGTCGTCTCCGGTTAAGAACCTTTGACCTGGGATGTGGTCCTCAGCTTTCCAAGTCCAGAACCTGCATCTCACTGGTGCAGTCAGAGAAACCATTTTTTTTTTCTAGAATTAAATTCACAGGAGACTGATACTTAATCCAGAATTCCATTTCATGTCTAGAGGGAAATATTCCTTATAGTTATTGCAGACGCATTTTTGCTGCCTGAAGTCTTTCTCCCCTTGTGTCGAGACTACTGAAGATCAAATGGGTAATAAATAATGTGGCAAACCTGGAACTCGAGTATACAACCCCTCGAGAGATGTTTTATTCATGCCATTATGCTGTCTGATGAAATTCCTACTCCCCAACCTGAAGCAATAATAATTAGAAGCATAGTGTTCTTACACATTGAGTTCTGGGCTCCAGCTTGTCTTGTCAAGATCCTGGCTCTACCACAATGAGAAGAGCAGACTGATCCGTCTGAGCCTCCATGGCCCCGTGTGTGGGATAACTTCAGTGTCAGTCCCTCAGTGAGGAGGGCTAAAAGGTTACTGTGTGTGAAATGTTTTCTGTTCTTTGCACAGCATGCTCTCCAAAGTTCACGGAATATGTATAAAAAAATTGTGCATGGATTTTGAAATGTTTTCCAAGTCCAAAATAAACTCCTTTCATTCCATGTTCCCATGAACTTCTTGTTTTGTGCTAGTTATTATTAGTTATGAAAGAGTAACTTAATTAGTTTGCTGATACATAAGTGTGTCTGATTGTGCGAGAATATACCTGAATGTTTTCGTGATGAAAAATAATAATTCCATGTAACCACCAAGGCAACACCTAGAACTTTCCCAAGTATAGGAAGCCCCAAATCTACCCTTCCTTGATGGGTTTATCATTTCACATGTTCCATTCCTGACAAATGGAAAAATTTAAAAACCATTCTTTTAAAACTAAAAGTAGAGCAATATTGATTCTCACTTTATCGTTGGCAAAAACAAATGGGCAATAAATATGTGCCCTCTAGAGTGATTGTACTATAGAGCATTTTACCTGCTGAATATTGACTTCGATCTGCATAATTGATTGTGAAATGCAGTTAAACACCCTTCTTCATCACACATCTGCATACTGATAATGATTCAAAAATCTGCAGTTCTAGTAAAGATACACACGTGTACTCTCCTCTCATCAAGGTAGTGCACTGCTTTGTGTGTGCAGACACACACCAGCATTTCCAGAACTTACTAAAGCCATGTGGGCGTCATCAGAATTTTGTTCAACACTCCAAGAGTTGCAGGGCTTTTTATGTATACACTGCCTAATACTTGAATTACAACTGGATTCACTGGTGTTAGTACTTAAGCCAATCAATAGACATGCAGAAACTGTCTATCATAAGAGTTAGCTAAAGAATTTCAGGTGTAAAAGGAGAGAAAGTGGATTTTAATGAAAAATGTGACCATCTTATAAAGCAAGATTCTGCCTTAGGCAAATTCTTGGAAAAGGCATATGAGAAGAAGCTATATTCAGGCACAATGACTGTCATAAAATTTCAGGTGAATCCAGATAATTCTTAGCTTTATTTTCTTTAACTTAAATTGATTACTATCAATTAAAACTTTTGAGATAATGGGCTTGCAAGACTTTAATTATGGATATATGTTGATTACTAATTATCAGGGGACTGTTTTTCTGATTACACCAAGCATGGGGACAATGTAATAATTGTATGAAGAGAAATACTTTAATGACTACATAGAATAAGGAATCAGTCAAATAAACTAAGTGTGCGTGGACAACACAGCAAAAACAATACTATTCCTTTTTTTTTTTTACTTAATTTATTTATTTGAAAGAGTTACAAAGAGAGAGAAGGAGAGGCGGAGTGAGAGGTCTTCCATCCGTTGGTTCACTCTCCAGTTGGCCCCACGGCTGGAGTTACGCCGATCTGAAGCCAGGAGCCAGGAGCTTCTTCCAGGTCTCCCACACAGGTGCATGTGCCCAAGGCTTGGGCCATCGTCTACTGCTTTCCCAGGCCATAGCAGAGAACTGGATCAGAAGTGGAGCAGCTGGGACTCGAACCGGCACCCATATGGAATGCTGGCACTGCAGGTGGCGGCTTTACCTGCTATGCCACAGCACTGGCCCCAAAATGTTATTCTTATATTTTCCTTATAGTTAATTTTTATATTAAAATCAATGCTCATATGCTATACATAAAGAATAGTTGATAGGTGCATACATGCTTTAAAATGTATCTTGACACATTTTGATATATATAACTATATTATTTTAAATTTTTATTTATTATTTTTTTTGACAGGCAGAGTGGACAGTGAGAGAGAGAGAGACAGAGAGGAGAAAGGTCTTCCTTTGCTGTTGGTTCACCCTCCAATGGCCGCCGCGGCCGGCGCACCGCGCTGATCCGAAGCCAGGAGCCAGGTGCTTCTCCTGGTCTCCCATGCGGGTGCAAGGCCCAAGCATTTGGGCCATCCTCCACTGTACACCCTGGCCACAGCAGAGAGCTGGCCTGGAAGAGGGGCAACCGGGACTAGAACCCGATGTGCCGGTGCCGCAAGGTGGAGGATTAGCCTAGTGAGCCTCAGCGCCGGCCTGATATGTATAACTATATTATATATGAGTTTGTGCATGTATTTCTATATATAAAACATCATTATAAAATGGAAACCCGTGGATGTACTGCATACACCAAGGTGAGAACATGGTTAATTCCATTCCTTCTGATGGTGAGCTTATCACTTATCCCCATTCTGCCTTCTTCCATCTGTTACTCTGGCCCTGAGTTTCTCTCTCTCTCTCTCTCTCTCTCTCTCTCTCTATTTATTTAATTGAAAGGCAGAGTTACAGAATGAGAGAGAGGGAGAGAGGTAGAGAAGGAGAGAGGGAGAGATGGAGAGAGGGAGAGAGGGAGAGAGGGGGGGAAGGAGAGAAGGAGAGATAGCTTTCATCCACTTCCCAAATGGCCCCAAAGGGCAGAGCTGCTCTGAAGCTAGGAGCCAGTAGAGCAGCCGGGCTCCCACTGGCAGGGGCGCCAGCATCACAGGCCTTGGCTTAATCTGCTATGCCACAATGCTGGCCCCAGAACCTGAATTTTATGATCTTTGTTTCTTTTTGAAAAATAGTTTTTAAAGATCACCTCTTACTAAACAACATGTTGCTTTTATTTATGATCAAAGCTATCATGCTGTATGATATATGATCCCATGGTATATGACCTTCCATAACTTGATATTTTTCACTAAAAATTGTATTTCTAGGATCCGACTATTGTGTTTTCTGTTGCTGTGGTTGCCTTTTTCCTGTTATATATGATTCAGCTGTGAAGGGTGCCATCATTTGTCTATCTGTCCTTTGGCCACTGAAAGTGTGACTTGTTAATGGTATTTTGCTAGTCTAAGCAATGTTGTCAAAAATCATACTTATCTGTTGATGTACAAATGCAGGTTTCCTCTGGCTCAGGACTTCCCAAATTTTTTTTTTCATGGAACAGAAAAAAATTCTAGTATTTGTGTAGCACCGCTGGGTAAGAAGCAAAGCTCCTGAGACCAGGTGCATGCCGGGGAAGCTCTTCCCAGAAGGACCTTCTTACCAAGTGGACTTGCGGGACGCGGGATAGGCCAGAGTTCACGTATACAAGCTAACGACAAACTGCTTTTCAAAAAGTTATGCTGGAGGTCATGCTGCCAGTGGCGTTGGGTTAGAGCGTCTCTTGACCCACGTTCTCTGGGTGACCTGGCATGGTCAGACTCCTTACAGCTTGCTGATTTACTGTCTGTCACATAGTAGCCAAGGCTAGTCCTGGTTTACATTTCTTTCTAGAGAGAAGTTAAAGCACCAGTTCATGTAGATTCTGTGCTGTGACGCCTCTGGTTGTACCTTGTGCCATCTATTCTAGTGTATTTTCAAATTTAAAAGTTTTTTTCTTTATTTCTTTGTTTTCATTTATTTGGAATCCTAATTATATACTGGATTATAGGTTTCTTTCATATGTACTTCATGCATTTTTTTAAACAAGATACAAACTTACACGTTTCTACAAACCTTCCTGTTTCATAAGTTTCTTTCATGTTTCTTTTACATTTTGTAGTTTTTTCCTTAATTTTTGTAGTTTTTTTTTTCTTCAAGGTCTTTTGAAAACCACAGGTTTTTAATTTTGAAATATTTAAATTGCTCAACCTTTCCTTTTATGATGAGGCATTTTTGTCTCCTGTTTAAATGAGCTTATTCTCCCTTAGCGTATTATTTTAGAATTTCTGTGATACTTCCCGCCTCTGCACAGTCTCCTGTCTTTCCATTCATTTTCTTACCTTCCGGAAGTCGCGGGACCTTCGGTAGAACCCTGCATGTTGAGGAGAGCCCGGGGCCTGGGTGCCGGTGCTGACTGCGCTCCTTGGCCTGCGTGTCTTTTGTTGCGATTGCTGTGCGCACACGGCTGACCACAGCCTCGCTCTTCCTCCTGGCAGATGCCTGCGATGACCCGCTCGTGGCTGCCCTGCCCCAGGCCGCATTCAGCAGCTCCTCCGAGCTCTCCAGCAGCCACGGCCCTGGATTTGCAAGGCTGAATCGAAGAGATGGTAAGTTTGCTTTTTCCTCTGTTCGTTTCATGGGAAATCTCATTGCATTTCCAGCCTCGGATAATAAAATCATTATACGTGATATATTGTATGAGAGAGTACATTTCCAAATAAGAAAATGGTTAAAACTTAACTGGCTGCCATTCTGGAATGGCCAAGGGATACATCCTAATGGAAAATCCTAAGTCATCATCTTGATATTTAAAGAATTGAGATCCTTCAACAGAGCAAGCTTTTAATAGATCTTATAAAATAAATCTTTCTACAACCCTATACAATCAGTATGGATATAGCACTGATAGAAACATAATTGGCTTTGTATTTCAGGTTAAATGAATAAGTTGGCAAGAAGTAATTATAAAAGATGCTAGTTATTAAAAAATAGTAATCCCTCGGTTTCTTTAATTCTCCATGTGGTTGACGAGATTTTTCCCTGTTGATGAGCAGGAACTTAATGAAGCTCTCATGGTCCTCTAGGAATGCTCAGTTCATGTTGTTTACTCTCTCTTAGCTAGGTGGTGTTTGATTACTTGAATATGTTCAAAGGAAAGTGAAGATAATTAAATGGCACTTGTCGAAAGAAGAGAGAACTTCAAAACACCACACTTGTAGAGTATCATTGTGGCCGGTGTCACAATATGCTCGGGAAAATCGTCCTCACCCATGTGGGACATAAAAGAGGCTTCAGCCAGGGGAGGCGACTTCAGAAAGTTTGTGAAAAATGCAAATTATGAAAACACTACGCCCAGCTTTCAAAAAAAAATTTGTGCCCAAATAAACATGTTTTAATACCATTTTCCATGGGCTGTTTGAAGTACCCTCTTACAAAGACAGAAAACATTTTTAACAACCGTAAGAAAATAAGTGCTGGAATCAGGTGTTATTAAAACCCTGTTAGTAAAACTGCTCCACCTGTTTGTTACCCTTTCTTTCTGTGATCTTCTGGCTACTTCTTTGCAATGTACTCCTTGTTATTATTCTTGATCTCATTGTTGTGTGTGTGTGTATGTATCTTTGTGTTTGCCATCTGGTATACATTATATATATATATATCATGCAGTTACATTTATAAAATAGATATTTGCGTAGCACTTTGATAGGTTTGTGAGCTGGATAATTCTGAAGATTCATATCATATTATCTGAGATCCCCACTTCTCTCGACATCTGAGTGTCGAGAGCGGAAACTGAGATCCTTGCATCCAATGGGCAATTTGGCAGGAAGGCTTGAATCTCTTTGTTTAGATAATGCTTGTATTTTCTGGTTTTTTCTATTTGTCCCTATGTGCAATTCTGAATCCCTGAGGGACCTGGCACGCAGACTCTCCTGGCCACTCACAGGGCTCTTCTGGATCCCGCAGCCATGGTCCTGACTGTTGGAATGCCAGTATTCTGACATTGACCTTAGTCCAAGGTCTCTGCCTTGTACTTCTTGGCAAAGTTTAACATTTAGCACCCTGCCCTGGAGGACTGAAAGCTTTCACAGAATGGGGTCTCCTGAAAGAGACAAACCATCGACTTTATCTGTGTATCTTTATTTCATTTGTTGAGGTTCAATAAGTCACAAAAATATATGTTATTAATTGGATCCAATCTTTTTTTTCATTAATTTATATACTCATCAGGACTCTCCATCAGTGGGGCTCCTTTGCATTCTTAATTCATGTCTGTGGCTCTTGGTGAAACACAATATCAGACTTCATGAATCTCATTTGCATGTTAATGAAGCTGAGAGACAAAACAGAATGATTTTAATTATCTTTTGCTCCTTGTCAACCTAGTTGATTACATTTTTTTCTCTTTCTTTAGTTTTCCGTTTTTTCCCCTATTAATTACATGAAGAGTTCATTAAGGATTGTCAGATTTTGAGTGATTTAGGAAGGCTATATGCTATTTCTAGTATTGGAACATTCCTCATCATATTTAGATTGGGTTGGGGAAGGGTGTTCAATCAAGTCAGCTGGTCATGTATCAATTAATAAAATAGAAGTTCTGATGCTATGGTGTGGATTTGGTTTGTCTACTAAGGCTTCATGTACAGGAAACTTGATCCCTTTTTGACGATGCTGTGAGGTGGTGGGCCCTTTAAAAAGTGGGGCTTGGTGCTAGGTAATTAGGCCATTGGAGTTGCATCCCAGAAGGTATTAGTACTGAACTCGCAGATGAGCTAATTCTCCTGAGAATGAGTTGTTATAAGAAAGAGCAAGCCTGGCCCTTGAACCTCTTGGGCTTCCTGTCTCACTCTGGGATCTCTCCCTCTCACCTGTGTTCCCACGGGGCTGCTGCTACCATGTTGTAAGATAGCCAAGGAGGCCCTCATCAGAGACCGCACAGAGGGGGCTGCCCCGTCTTAGACGTACAGCCTCCACAACTGTGAGCTAAATAAACAAACCTCTTTTCTTATTACCCAGCATCAAATATTGAGTTCTAGCAACAGGAAGTTGATGGATGAGAACCCAGGAGTGACTTCTTTTCCTAGCACTCTGGAAAACTTTGAGCCTAAGACTGGCCAGGCAGGAAGTGTGGGACTAACTCAACTGTTTGCTGTCACAGTACCCTGGGCAAAACCTGTGAAAATGGGGCCCAAGCCTGTCTGTGGGGCTTTCTCACCGCAGCCCTAACAGAGTGTTGCTTGTGCCACTGAGTAAATGACTCTTCTTTATCAATACTGATGTTCCAGAAGACAGTTTCACTTCAGTCATTTTCAAGAACATTTTACCTCCTTTGAACTAGCAAGAGGCATATCAACTTGAACCTGAAAAAATTCATAGCTCTGAGAACTGTAATCCAGGCTTAACTATACATACCCCAAACAAATCACTCCCTGCTAATTCTGGTGATGTAAATGGAATCAAACATCTCTCTTCCTTTAGACCACAGCCCTTCCTTATCCTCTTTCCATGGTTACACTTAAAAATACTAAACAGAAAATTTCAGAAATAAACAGTTTCTCAGTTTAAAATAGCTCCCCATTCTGAGTCGTATGATGAAATGTCATCCATTTGGCTCTGCCCTGCCCAGGACATAAATCACTCCTTTGTTCAACGTATCTGTGCTCTGTCACCGTGGCCTGTTTGTAGCCATTTCAGCTATTAACTCGACTGTGAGGGTCGCCCAGGGCTGGTGTTGAGGTGTAGCCTAATGCTTTGTCTCTATACCATGCACCTCGCTTGAGCTCGTCATGTAGGCATCTTATCACCTGAAATCATCACATGATGAGTATAGAACAAGAAAATATGTGGGAAAAGAGCTCTCACATCCACAGAATTTCATTACACTGTATTGCTCTAATTATCTTGTTTTCTTATTAGTTACTACAGTTAACTTTTTACTGTGTCTGATTTCAATGCTTATTAAGGGCTGTTTTTCCAATACCTGTAGGTTTTTCTGTTAAAAATCAAGCGTCTATCGGTATGCATATCAGTTTCCTTGATTAACGAACAGAAACAAAGAACATTCTTAGAAGTACTGCTACAAAGGATAATTTATAAACTCTTACGTGGAGTTGTACGGCAGCTCTGACTGCCCCTAGTTCCTGTGCTTATTCACATCTGACTGTTAGGCCTAATGAAGCCCTACCCTGGGACTTAGGAGGGCAGATCCCCAGGGATGGAAAGAGGTGGGTGCTTCTCTTGAGATAAGCGTTTCCTGCCGTTGAATCTATCACATGAAATTTCTTGGTTTTTAAAATTGGTGGCATCAGTGTATTTCACAGCACCTTCTGAGGAAAGTACTGAGACGGCGTTGGTGCAGCACTGAGGGAAAGACTCACGTCTCGGCAAAGAGGAGCCTGTTTGGCACTGCCGCTGTGCAGTGATTCCCGGGCGGCTCCCGGACCCAGGGTGCAGTGAGTGAACTTGGCTTGCCCACAGCCGTAGACTGGGGAAGAACAGATGCCAGCAGTCGATCTGCTCCGAAACGCACTGCTTCCCCCTCATACTCCGGATCTGATGTGCAAGTGAGGCCTTGGGTGCTGAATGGTTTTTGGAAATATGAGGACCCTGTGCCTTCATGCTGGTCCCAACTGCGGCACCTCACTTCTTATTAGCTTTGCCTGATATTTCAACCTCATGCTCTACCTTGTCTCCAGGACTGAGCCCTACCCTAAAGCTGCAGATATGTAGCGCTTACCACATTGAGGCAGGAACGTTAAAAACCCAGCACCTTGCAGAACAGTCAGACCCCTGAGTCACCTCTGTAGTCCAGCATTGGAGCTTCCCCAACACATTTGAACTTCAGCTCCTCCATTCTGCTTGTCTGTCTTGGATTCTCTACTGTGGATCCTAAAATATTAGCGAACAGTAGTCACTTTGGTTTTACATGTATCTGGGATCAGTTCACTATTATTTGGTTTAATTTTTTGTTAGAGTTTATTTGAGAAACAAATAGACAGGGATAGATAGACACAAAGAGAACTCCCATCTGTTAGTTCGCTCCCCAAATGCCTACAATAGCCAGGACTGAGCTGGAGCCAATGCCAGGAACCAGAAACTCAGTAGCAGGAACCGAATGACTTGAGCCATCACTGCTGCCTCTCAGAACCTGCGTCAGCAGGAGACTGGAATCGGGAGCCAGAACTGGGAAATTGAACCCAGGAACTCCCATATGGAAACCTTAAACACTGCTTAAGGCCCAACTCATATTGTTAATTTTAATCCATAGTACTTCTTATTTAATTGAGGATGAGCAAAATATTTAAACTCTGTACTTTGATTTCCTATGGGAAGAATAGGGATAACAGGTGATGTTAATGAGATGACATTGATCTTATTGATAATGAGGATCACACTGTGGTATGGTCACACGTATGTCAAAACCATAGTCCAAAGTGAATATTAACCTGCTGCTAAGTTCACTCTGCCAATGATCCCCATTTTAGCAACCCTGACAGCACCAAATATGCCAGTATACATTAATAGAAAAGGAATTTATACAAAAGTAATTTCAAGGAATTCAGGCTTCTACTTAATTTTTCTAGAAGAATCATTTGATTCCTGATTA